AAGCAGACACTGCGCAGAACATCGACGTCATTCAAAACTCCACCTTCTGTTCTCTGATTGGACCAGGTAAAATAAACTACAGACACTGCGCAGAAAATTGACGTTCTCTTCTCTGATTCGCCCGGCTAAAAATCTGCCAGCGAAATCCATCTCATTAGGAGCAGTCCCAGACGGAGCAGTGAAGGGAAACTAGAATTGAGCGGAGCTGCGTAGGAAGGCAAGGGCCAGGCTACATGAACATTATCGTGGTCCTCAAATGGCTGCAGTGTTTATGTTTAACTTTGACTAAACACAAAACATCATGTTCCTCTAATTGCTATGACTGAGCTACTAACAGACACTAACTGAGCTCTACCTTGTGTTTCCTGCATAGAAACAGTGTTTAACACRTCCTCTTACAAACACTGAAAAGTACTATGTGCACGACTGACTAAATGTGAAATAAATGATACAGAAATACTATTAGAAGTAAAAGTAAGAGAGTTTTACTCACTGTTGAGTTGTGCTGACTAGCTGCCATCTTAAATTCTGAACTCTCTCACTTTCTGACAGAGAAATCCCAGAGAGGTGTTCTAGTTTGATCTTATGACCAGTTCAACTGGGCTGCGGCAAAAATTGCCAGAGAAAATGCATTAAATTTAGAATTTACACAGCGAATTACGATGGCTACTGGCTACTCTTGAACCCCGTGCTCYTCCACCTAGTGGTAGCATGCTATCCTTTTGTGAGTAAAATAATCCACATGCATTGTGGGAGATGTAGTTTATGGTCAATGCTGGCTTTAAAGCAGCATACACTTATTTTAAAGACATTTAGGCATCTTTGAAGCTATCGTGGGCCACATAATATGTGTGGGCCTTGAGTTTGACACTTCACTCTTGAGTTTGATTTCTGGAAACTAAATTGAGTAAGGTTTGAGATGCCCATAACTGTTTTTTTTTAAAAGAAACTTTGTTGCACAGATGTTTATGAACATGTTTAAAATGTAGGTGGTAAGATTGCAAGCTTATGGGACTCACATAAGGAAACTGAGAACCCCGCAAATGTTTTTGGGGCACTTTGGAGTCTCCCTTATGAAGACTGTCAGCTAGTGTCCAACAGTTACAGTCGAGTAAAATCTTGGCGTAAAACATGAAGGACAGTGGGATTAGCAGACAGGAAATGAAAATCCCTTTTCTGAGGTGGCAGTTAACAAAGAAGGTGAGCCTTCTTCTAAATGAGAGTAGTGATTGCCTGTGACTAATGTATTCTTCATCTCCACCAGACCTTGACACCTCTACCATGATGGCTCAGGTCTAATATATGTACCATTACATCCTTATCTAATCGTACCTACTGAAGCAGTTTAATGGTTAACCAGCTCCAAACACAGACTTTTAAAAGAGTTTTGTCCAAAGCACTCTATTTTAGTGTACCACTGTAAAACTCTGAGATACTTTTAAACACAGAATACTCAATGACTGGTTTAAATTCCTCTAGTTTTTGCACTTTCTTATGATTTGTCTGAAAAGTTGTAAAACAGTCAAACTAATTTCCTCCAATAATTAATTTGTCATTTATTCTACTGTATGTGAAATTGGCTCTGATTGGTTGTCTTGATGCAGTTCATTTTGAGCATACAGAAGATAACCAGGCCTGCAACAGAAAAAATAGCCAGACCATAGGAAGTAGACAACCCACACTGCAGTACAGCCTTGTCAACTTAGACCATTTATAAAGGAGGCTGTGGCAGAAACTGACAGCGATCCAGTAGAAATGAAAGAAAGCACCTCCCACTTACAGAAATCAGCAGGAATAAGAACATTTTCTCAACCCTACTAATCAAGTTCTTGATGTTTTTGTTCTTTCTGTGCACACGCTGTCTGCCCACATTACATTGTTTGTCACATCAGTGATCTTACTCAGTGTAGCCAGATTTCCAACACCAATGCGTTATCTTAAACCTAAGAAATGTAACACTTGTTTCCAGAAAGCACTCTGAAGAGAGAATAAAAAAGAGATAGTACTGCTTTAAGCTGGGAACACAGCCTGTAATTACTGGGCTTTATTATTCAGACTGATTGATCACACAGCTAGGCAGCTGCAAATGCCAATGTCTCCATTTTAAACAAGAACACATCGCATTTTGGTTCATACAACAAATGGAATCTGCTTTTTTGTAATTTTTGTTGTTGTTTTTGCTCTGATTAATTGTGCAAAAAGTCGTCATTAACWGTGTGATTGCAGTTTGCTTTTAAAAAGGCTTTTTAAATCAACCGTTTTTTTCCCCTAAATTCTGAACATTTGCTTCAAATTTTCTATATGTTGTGCACTCTGTAATGATGCACTCACATGATTGAGTTTATCTGTGCTACTTGATGTATGAAAGCACAGGAGGCCGAATCCTCTGACTGCAGATCAATATGGACTGCTGCCATCTGGAAAATTTTTGACATTGTTAGTGTGAATGAACCTCTGTGTTTTTTTTAGGGCTAACTCACAGATCTATGCTGCATAATTAGGTGTGCAYACACAACGGCACTGGCACGCATTCAAGCACACGCTTCATACACACATAATCAGCTGACACTTACATTGCAGAATAATACATAAGCCTGCTGAGGGTTTCATATGGGCTAGTGAACACTCTGACCAGGGAAAGTGGTCCCATTTACATGAGACTGCAGCTGCTTGCTGCTTGACACACCCTTTGTGTTTTTAGCTATACAATATAATTACACCCAATAAAGATACAGGCCTAAATGGAGAAAGGATGAAAACACTTGAGCTTATATTCGCTGATTTCCTGACTTTAATCTAAAGCTATTTAAAAAGATGGAAGATGACAGTGTGTGGATCTGCACATCTGAGCAGGATGTAAAGAGAGGAGGCAGCTGGGCTGACTGTGGCAGAAGTACTGGACACAGACACACTGATGTCAGTAACAGAGGTTTGTGTTAGTGTGGAGTATTTGTCTGCACTCATCAGGTCCTTCTCTGGGATGYTGGTTGGTTAGCTCACAAGAACTTGTGAGGATCTAGTTTTTTTGGTGAGTTTTTTGTTTGTAGTCTTTTGTATTTGTTAAGGAGGTTATGGTTTTGGTAGTATTGGTTTGTTTGTTTGTTTGTTTGTTTGATTGTCCATCTGTGCACAAGATTACTCAA